ATATCAGAACAACTTCACAACGTATTAGGAGATTCTCCCAATTTCTCAGAAATGTATGGCTTCCGCACCGTAGTAACTTATTCACAAATTCAATCATTGAGCGAAGTATTCCATACAATTCTTCTAATGCGGTAAATTTCTCAAAAAGTCAAAGCGCTTTCGTACAAGTTTTGTGAGTTCGCAATAAATTTTACAGAATATCAACATCCTTGTCATAAGTTTTCGTCAAAATTAGTATACGTTGAGCGGTCACTCTTTAAGATATAAAACCAATTTTTTTTTATTTGTGCAACCGAGCGTTCGCTTCATGTAATCGCACTGCTTTCATTAGTTAGTTCTTTTAACGTCGTAAGCTCGGTTGTACAAATCGAACTTACGGTTGCATAAACTGGAATTTGGGTCCGACTGTCCAAATAGTTACGATGATATAGAATACCATTACTTTCGATACCTTCATTTTGTGGATATGTAATTTTATCTTGTAGAAAGTCAAAATAGTTGTACATTACAACGTGTTTCGACCCATCCAACTTTTCTACTCTGGCGTTAAGATCTTGGAGTCAGTCGAAAAAGTTAAAGTTCTCCCTCATTCTCTGGATATGCAATTTTACCTACTTAGAGGTCGAAAGAGTTGTATCACGCGTTTCATCCCATCCAACTTTTCTACCCATGCGTTAAAATCCCTGAGTCAGTGGACGAGAGACCGCAGGTTATTTTTCATTGGTGCATGTAGAAATGTAGATATGCGCGAAAGTTTTGTTGCTTCATAATGGTGACAGGACCTATAAAAAGGAACCTCATCTCTCGGAGGAAAGTATGAACTTGGCGTGAAAGACGATCGCGAGAAGCCCCTGCAAAACTTAAAGAATACTTCAAGCATCACGTCGTCTTCCCGAGCCTGCGCCGCCGAAACCCGATCTCTAGTCTCGCTATTGTTTCTTGAATCGCGCAGATGAGCACGCTACTCGGACCTCATTTAGCAATTAGGAACTAAAAATCTTTGACTCAGTTTAAAAACAAATGTGTCATTCGTTTCTCTATGCAGATAGGTGTTATTATTTATGAGCCAGAAGTTGTAGTTCCGAATTGCAAAATGTGGTCTAGTTGATTTAGCTCCAGATGATTTAAGCCAAATGTTATTTTAAGTAGTACATTTAAGAGTCAGGAGTGCTAGTGAATGGGACCCCAGGATTTTTAACAGCAATGTACTGAAAAAAGGCTGATGATAATTTGCAAGACTATTTATTTATTTAAGCGAGGTTTCCCTCCACATTTCTCCTGAGGCATCTCTTGTATCCCCATTAGAAGAGAACACTGGAAAAAAGTAGGTTGGATCTAGTGTCCAGACTCTTAAAAACATTGAAAAGAAATAATACTCTTGATTCAATCGGACTTTTGCTTGATTCATAAGGAAATACACTTAAATCAAGAGGCTTGGCTCTTCGATTCAATGAAAAATCCGATTGAATTAAGAGTCTTTTTTCTTGTCCATGTTATTAAGAGTCTAGGCTCTAGATCCAAATTATTTTTTTTCCAATGAACGCTGACGGACGCGCTGAAAAACCTCGATAGGCGATGAAAATCTGGAACGAATTCCTATCCAAGGGTCGGGGGTCATCAGTCCTAAAATCGTTACTTCTTATTGTTTTCAAAAGAAAATTTGGCGGAAATGATGTATGGTGGCAGAATTTGATCGATTTGATCAAAATTGGACGGGCCGTCCAATTTTGTAAATGGTGCATGGTGGCCCTTAGTCATCAAATGATATATGTTGATCGGAATTTTATCACCTATCGAGGCCTAAAAATGAAACTGTACTGTAAGAAATGTACTGTTAAAAATTTGGCAACTCATCTCACTGCGCTTCTCTCCGTTCTATCCATAGGCCTGTCCCACTCCAAGTGGATGGATGCAGTGGCGTGGCGTGCTTTGCGATATATCGATTGATTCGCCATTTAAACCTACGGAAAAAGATCGATTATCAGGGCGTTCGCAGCGAACACCTTAATAATCGATTCTTTACCATAGCTTCAAATGCCGATACATCGATAATCGATCCTTCACGCCACGCCACTGGATGGATGCTCTGAGCATTAGTTCGGGTGTACAAAAAATGATTTTGGAATGAGGAAAGGTTCGCAGAATCTAATTGATGACGGAGCACTGAATCCGAATAACTCGTTTTTTCCCATTACGTGAGAGTTTCCCGGCATATTGAATTTTCCTCGGAAATGGAATTAACCAGGGGGTGCATGCACGATTTGCCAGGGGATTGGTGCACGCTTGGAAAAATGGATGCCATTTTAGATTCAAAAGTAAACAAGAATTATGGAAGATCGAAATGGATTCTCCCCTTTAAAACCCCTATGTAACTTCCTGCTTAAGCCTCCCCTCATAACAATGTAAACTATGAGGACTTTTCCTAGAAAACAAACTATTTGAAAAACGACTACGAATATAGGATCGAAGTCAGTAAGAAAAAGCAACCAGCATTTTGTGTGAATATTGGATGAAGAACACAAAGTAATCTAAACCTGTTTTCAATATATTTGGTTCGTTTTTCTTTGAGTTACATTGACTGAAGCTTTGGGTTACATTATGACTAAATTTTAAATTACAATTATACAGCCTCGTTAAAAATTAGGTGGAAGGCCACTAGGATCGAACCAGGATCGCATTAGCGACTGTCTGATGAGCTAACCACTTGGAGGTCGCAACCATTAAAGTAAATCAAGAGAAAAAAAGAGTACGTTAGTTCAGCAGGAAATTTTCTACTCAGAGTAACCTTCGGTTTCGGCCGACTTTACCAAAAATTTGGTTCATCAACCAATTCTTTTTGGATGAGCTGACCGAAAAAGCAGGGTTGCCATAATTTTTTCATCTTCAAATTCGCTGACTTTCCCTGACTTTTTCCTGACTATATATGATTTTCCCTGACTCCAAAATCTTCGGATTCCCTGACTTCCCTGACATTTGAATAAAAATTTTAAATTACACTCACTACTGCTGAACGTACCTCTCAAAATTCCCTGACTTCTCCTGCGAATTCCCTGGCGTTGCCTTACTGGGCAACCTGCCCGGTCGCTGCAAATTCCCTGACTCTTCCTGACCTTCCCGCTGGCAACTCTGCTCAAAGCAAGGTTGCCACAGAATTCGGAAAATGAAATTCCCTGACATTTTCCTGATTTCCCTGGCACATTTCGATGAAATTCCCTGACGATTGAAGATACGACAAATGGTTAAGACGACATAAGTGAAAATATTTTTCAGGCATAATTTGCAATTCGAAACCTCAAACCCATTTTAGGAAGCAAATAAAGAAGATTTAACAAATTTTCACTGACTTTTCAAGATTCCCTGACATTTCCCGGTTTTCCCTGACTGCGGCAACCTTGTCAAAGTAACCATAAAGACAGAAATGTTCATCCGTGCATGAATACGGCCCTGACGCGTTGAGTCAAGAAAAAATAAACGGGAAGGCTAAAAACTCTCTGCATTCCTGTTCGAAGGTTTATGGACGGACGACTCGGACGGGGATTGGGAGCCCGACCTGGACCCCAAATCGAAGGCTGTGGAGAAATGCGAGAAGCGGGGAGAGATATATTTTCCGGAGACCGGACTGAGGGTGCTCTTGTTTCGGCCGGCATCGAAGCTCGGCTACGTCACATGCAGGTACTCTAAAGCAGCCCTCAAATTAATGAAGATGCAGGGGCTCAAAGGCAAAGACTTGCTGATCTGGCAGTACGTGAATTATTTCAACCCCCAGGCGGGCAATAAGTATCTGGAGAAGCGCGGACTCAGCATACGGGTGGAGCTTCCGGATGAGAAATCGAACGATCTCTCCAAGAAGACTGCCGGGAGGACTGGGACCTTTAAACGGGACAATTGGGAACCGAGGAAGTCCAGTAAATCTCTCCGATATACTCAACGCACCTCTTCGAATGCCTCGCACATCAGTGGAATCTCTCAAGTGTCGAGAGTATCGCAGGCGACAAAAATCCTGCGTAAAAAATTCCCTTCATTTTTCAAAACCAAAAAGTTCGGATCATTTTCGAGCCCCGATTGATCCGAGGTCGATGGATTTCGAGTGAGATCAGAGACGGTAAATCGTCGGTTTCCAGACGAAGGGACGTAACTCCATTCCAACGTTGCAAAATAGCCTCAAATAATCATTTTTTTCGCAGTGATACGACGCGCACTGGGCCGAGTCGGTAGGAGAAGTCGGACAAAATCTGGAAATTTTGAAAGCTTTGTTTTCTTAAAAATATTCGACAAAAAAAAGTCTGAAAGTGGTTTGATTGGTTTTTTCGTGAAATTTCCTGTCAGGAACACCCATTGGAGTAGAATTTGCGACGAAATAAACGTAAAATTTTGAAATTTTAGCCAAATATTTCATGTCCGTCTTCTTTTACGAGTTCGTTCGGCTGTGCGACGGTGCGATAAACGCTCAGAATGAACTACCGTGTAGGGCGCACTGAAAAAAAAGTTCGGTCGCATGAACTGAAAGTTCGGTGTTTCGTATAATTTCAACTATTCGGCTTGCCAAACTTAACTTCTTTCAAGTAAAATTCGATCGTCGATTCCGAATTTTTGAACTGATTTTTGAATTTTTTCGATTTATTTTGAGTGAAATTGTGATGAGATAAAACGTCTTACAGGGGTCTAATTTTTACCTTGTCTTGTGGTTTTGGCAGATATTTGCATGTAATCAGAGGATTATAGTAAACTATTTGGTTAGAAACGCAAAACAGTCTTCTAATAGGAAAAATTTGAGGCGTTTAAATGTAGTTACGTTCTTTCGTCTGGAAAACAATGATATGTGACGCAGAAGACCGAAAACCTCGAGTTGGAATAGTGCTACGGTATCTTTGAAAATTTATTGATTCTTATAGAAATTAAGATTATGTCTTGTTAAGGATGAGCACAGTGTCGATGAAAAATAGGCTTTCACACAATCGATTTTAACCATTGCCTGATTACATGGCGTCTTGCAGACCGGTCAAATTTTCATCCTCAATGTTCATACGTTTAGATTTCAATTAGATTACCTATGCTAAAAGGAGCCAGAGATGAGGAAGAAGGAATGTGAAACATACTGTGCTCTTCCTTTGCAGGGCAGCATTCTTCAAGATGTTCAAAACTCCTAAAATCTTCAACATATGAAAAAATGTAACCCCTCTCCCCGACAAGGAAATACATCCCGTCATGTTCAGAACACACTAAACTTACAATGAAACCAGTTGATTTACTTAAATTTTCCTTTGCCTTTATTTCTTTCTCCCACATCCCGCTCCCTGTTGTTAAAACTAAAAGACCTAGGATAAACGTTGTTTTAAATAATGAATAAAATAATTATTAGCATCATATTACATTTTAAAAATTTCATGTATGTCTTGATGTTTTCGAGAACATAAAGTCTTCAAAAGACTGATTTAAATTTTTGTCAGTAATCATTGGAATTAGACTAATAAATACAAAGAATAACATCGAATTTTGGGCCGTGGCATCGTATTCAAGATACTTTCCATGAGAGTGATTTACTAGAACCAATGGACCTAGTTTAGTCAAAAGTATTAACTTTTTTGGCTTATTCCAAAATCAACGCATCTGTCATTGATTTCTTTGTATGAAGTGGTGCTTTCATGACAGATGCGTTCATGTCCTTCACGGTTAAAAATTTCCGTGTTCATAGTGACTTAGAGCTACCTCCCTCAGTTAGATCAACCATAATGAATTGGTTGATCAATCGAAGCTCTAAGTTATGCTGAAACATCTGGGGACGGAAAAAGTAACCTGCTATGCTTATGTGCTCTTTTGTCTCTCGATATGATTCAGAGGTTGCAACACGCGAGTGGTTGGCGCATTGAACTACGACCAGTTAATTTATCCGAGGCGATCCTGGTGAGTTGCACCCAATTTTCAAGGAGGGGCAACCCAAAGATTCGGCCAATGTAACTCAAACATTTGGTTAATTTCTAACCCAAAGAAATGCTAATCAAAAATGGTAACCACAAGTTTAGATTTTTTGTTTTCTACTTTACATATTGACAAAAAATCTCGGTTGCTTTTTTCTCAAAAGTCACGCAGAACGTGGAAACACATGTTTTCCTTCAAATCAAATCATGTTTTGTGAGTGGCTAGCGCATTGGATTTTTACAGATGCAATCTGAATACGATCCTGATGGCTGGCGCCTTATTATAACGAGGTTGCAGATTCTTAACACAAAAATTCGGTCCCTTCAACACAACATTTTGATCGATTTGACACAGATGAAACTAACACAAACAAAATTAACCAGCAGATTGTGTTACTTGGTGTTTACTTCCCATACCAACACAAAATTTTGGTTACTTTTTCTTTCTGTGTATGGCGTTTTGCCTTGGCTAGCACACCGAAAACAAAAGTTGCTGAAGTAACATCCCGGATGTTAAAAATACGTGCTACAACTCTTGAATGTTGATATGAACGCTACGGTTGTTAAATCAACCTAGCTAGGATGGTACTATTGGTACTTCAACAGCCAGGGTGTTCATAAAAACATTCAAAAGCTGATTAATATCCGGGATTTAAAAATATGTGCGGCAACTCTTAAATGTTGATACGAATGCTACGGTTGTTAATTCAACGTAGCTGGGATGTTACTTTAACAGCCATTTCATAACAACATTCAAGAGTTGTCGCACATATTATTTTTAACAACCGGGATGTTACACTGGAAAAAAACACATTGGATCTAGAGTCCAGACTCTTGAAAACATTGACAAGAAAAAATACTCTTGATTCAATCGGATTTTTGCTTGAATCGAAACGAAATCCGCTTAAATTAAGAGGCTTGGCTCTTAATTTAAGCTAGATTCTGATTGAATCAATAGTGCTTTTTCTTGTCGATGTTTTTAAGAGTCTGGACTCTAGATCCAATGTATTTTTTTTCCAGTATACTTGAGCAACTTTTATTCGGTGCAGAATAGAGCCTGCGTATTCTCACGGCCTCTTTGACGTAGGTGGTTCCGAATTTTCATCCGGCGAGACCGAACCGGACACCTCCTTCGTTCCGGACTTGCGGAGGAAATGCGAATCCTACGGCGACCTGGACTTCAACGGAGTGAGGGTCCCTCTAAAGCGACCGTGGCGCGAGTACACATGGGACGGCCGCAAACGCATCGTGTGCCGCTGGTCCCCGGCGCTCCTGAAAGCCATGGACGTCCTGAAAGTCAACATGCCGCGCTTCAAGAACATCTATTCCAAGAGCCCTCTCCTGGCGCGCGTTTATTTGTGGTGGATGCACAAAACGCGCATCAAGCGTCCGCGAAGGGCCGACGGCTCCGACACTGGATATTTCTCCGACTCGTCGTCCATCTCGAGGATCGCATCGCGGATAACCCCGAAAACCGTTTCTAGACTCTTGAGCTCGCCTAGCTCCCGATCATCTTCCGGTAGTTCCAGTAGCCGTTATTCAAGAGCTGTCTCTCGAACGTCGTCCGGCTCTGGTTGAAAATTCGGCGGACGCAAAGACGAAGAGGGACCCTTCGCTGCACTGAAAAAAATAATATGCTGTTTTAGCACCTAGGATGTCAAAAATGTGCCTGCCTGATGCTGACTACTGCCCTTGCAGTTAACTTTACATCCTATGAATGCACAATCAACTGCGAGGGCAATCGAGGTAGCATCTTAGGATCACCAGACACATTTTTGACATCCTAGGTGTTAAAATAGCATACCATTTTTTTCAGTGTGGTCTCTCGGCGACAGGCGGAGACTTTTACTTTCGGGTATTCAACCTTCCTTATAGAAAACTATGTGCACTGGAAACAAAAACACATTGGATCTAGAGTCCAGACTCTTAAAAACATCGACAAGAAAAAATGTTCTTGATTCAATCGGATTTAAGCTTAAATCAAGAATCCAGCCTCTTAATTTGAGAGGATTTCCTTTTTATTTAAGCTTAAATCTGATTGAATCAAGAGCAGTTTTTCTTGTCAATGTTTTCAAGAGTCTGGACTCTAGATCCAATGTGTTTTTTTTAGTTTTTCTTGTCAATGTTTTCAAGAGTCTGGACTCTAGATCCAATGTGTTTATTTTTTTTCCAGCGTGGGAGCAACAGTCATCTTCCATATTAGGTGGATGCTGAGCTTCGTGTGATGTCATGAGCCAAACGAGTTTACCAAACTTCGGTTTGTTTCACAGAAAAAAAAAGATTGGTAGCATTTACCATTCCTTCACGCTGTATTTCGCACAGCGACAATTCAGAGTCGATTCTGCCAGAAGAAATGTAATCGTTGCTATATATTGGTACAGGTAACCATTCCTCTGGCAGAATCGACTTGAAGATTAGTAGGATTTACCATTCCTTCACGCTGTGTGAAATACACCGTGAAGGAATGATAAATCCTATCAATCATTTTTTTCAGTGTTGTAACACGAAATACTCAACACGTTCTTAATCACCCACCCATAGTAGGTATGATCAACAGTCAGATGTTGGTATTGTTGGTGTCCCAGAAGTAAAAGCTTCCACCATTCTGCCGAGGGAGGACGCCGTATGAGAGAGAACGTCCATGTATGCAATTTGAATGAAATGCAGCATATTAAAAGCGAATAAAAGAATATTTTAAACGATTTTAAGTATTTTGATTACAATTTTTGTCCATTTGTTCGGTCCCTGGCAGCCTGATGAAACCTAAAATGGGTTGGCCGATTCTTGATATGTTGGAAAAAATATTTCAAATCTAATAACCCTGGTAAAAATTAGCAGTAGAATCTGCATTCAAAAATACCATTGACCTAAAGCCGGCTGTAAGATTTTCAATAGCTTCTATAGCCGGCTGCAGAATTTCTTATAGCCTTTTATAGCCGATGGCGATTGAGCAACAGCCAGGCGATAAAGTGTATGCTCCATGTTACTAATTACGGATGCTATAGGACTTAGTGAGTTTTTGGACTACCGCTCTATTTTTGGGCCGTAGTATCTTGATTTATTTTGCGCGGAAAGCTCCGTACTTTTGAAGGATGCCTGCCATTCCTAATATGTTGGAGCGCCTTCAATTTCGTATGATAATGTGCAATACCTCTGGTGTGAAATAGTTGCTTCAAGCGCCGTGGCACGCTGCGGTGCGGCAGCCGGCACGAAACGCGCCTTAGCGCCTACAAACCTAACAGGGATACTTCACGCATTGCGCCATGCGTGAAGTATCCCAGTTAGGTTTGTAGGCGCTGGTGCGCGCTTAACTCTGGCAGCACGCCTCTCCGCTTTGTGTTATGCTCCAATATAATCTTGCGGAGTCAGCGTTCTTCAACTCATGATTTTGAAATGTTTGCACATCCTGTATGGATTATTCTCATTTTAATTGATGAAAAAAAATATGTATTAAAGGAAAATATAATGTGTGTTTTGTGAATATTATGTTGGCTCCGTATCAAACTTAATGATTTCCAAAGCACACGAATTTCTACACAATTTCTTAAAGCCTTTTATAGCCGATGTCGATAAAGTGTAAAGCCCGGCGATAGGAACTATAGCCCAGCTGCATACTTTTTTATCGCTTCGTATAGCCCGGCTACATGATTTGCTCCGCTTTCTACAGCCAGCTATATGATTTTCTATTGCCTCCTTTAGCCGGCTTTGAGAATTCCTATGGTATTTTGAAACGCAGCTCCTATCGCCAATTTTTACCAGAGAAACATACATACATGTGATCGGTTTCATATATGAGTAAATAAGAAAGAGGTAAAATAAAACTCGGTTTACACTATTCTGCGCAGAAATTAAATCCAGGAAAAATTAAGGAGTGGGATTAGAATCAGTAAAAGAGCTCAAATGAGTTTCAGTGGAAGACTTCGAGTTAGGTTAGACACGTTAGATAATGTGATACATCTGCCTGAGCTGAACATTTTCCCTCGTCGTAATTGCACTGAAAATAAGTATAGTTAATTTAATAACTCCTAATCTAATTTTTTATTTTTCACGTACCTGGCTTCGATTTCCTGCAAATAGTGAGGACCTAGCGCTATTTAACCGCCCTGAAACACGAGTAATTGGGTCTCATTTTTAGTGGTTTTTTTTCGGAACTGAGAAAATAGATCTAAATTGCAATCAGAGTAAAGCTCACGGCGATACTAACAATTAAAACCTAATTTTCTGTTATTTTGAAATACCTGCCTGCAACGGATACCAAACTGCTCCAAGAAGCCGAAAACATCTGAACCAATCGGGGATGAACATCTCAGTGTCCACAC